CCAACGTGGCGGCCACCCTGCGCTGCCTGTACTCCTGGTCGCTGCGGCGGCCCCCCGGCTGGTCGGCCAACAGCTCGGCCATCTCGTCGCGCGCGGGGAGCGGGATGCGCTCTACCCTGCCGCTCACTTGCGACATGGTCCGCAATATTGTCTGCTCTAAAATGGTGTCGATGTGTCGCGCCCATTCCGCGTTGGGCGGCGGGCCAGGCACAATGTTAAACTCGGATGCGATGGCCTGGGCAGCGATGGAGAGGTCCCTGCGAGACTGAAAACGACGGGTCGTGAACCAGACAGCGTGGATGTCCCCGACGATCTTGTCCTCTGCCATCGCCCCTACAATCCCGCGCCACAAGAGATGGGCAGCACATCCCATCGGTGGCGCCAACACGTTCGACGGTAGCATTGCTGCCGTGGCTGCCCGCTTCCTCTTGTTGACGATGTGGTTGTCGGGCACCTCGCTGTACACTACGATCTGGTGCTTGGCCGCCAACGCCTGCACCTTGTCGATGGTCATCTCGGGGACAGCCTTCTCGACGGACTCAAATACAGTGCTCGCATTGGCTCGCTTCAGGATGGACGGGGCCACGACCAGACGGCGGGCATCCGTGGTGCGACCATCAGGCATAGCAGCGACGACCTCGACCGTCTGGGCCATGAACTCCACGATGCCTTTCCCCGGGAATGCCTTCGGGAAACGCTCTCGGAATCCAACCAGCCCTCTGAGCGTCGGTGGTTTAGAGAGTTTCCTTCGGGGAGGGGTTTACCCCTCCCCCATGCCCCCTCCCCTGGACTTGGACAGGGGGCCCCGCGAGGCGTCGGAGCGCCCGGAACGGCCTCGGCGAGGCAGCCAACATCGTGGGTTCTACTATTGCATTGGCCCTATTTGGGCCTCCTGAGAGGGGGGGGCCCTACCTACAGCTCCCCTCTCGCTTGATCGATCTCCTCCAAGATGGCCCCATGAAGCGCCCAGGAGGCCCCGAGAGGTCCCAAGATGGCCCCAAGACGGCCCCAAGATGGCCCCAAGAAGCCTCCAGGAGGCCCCCACGAGGATCCCGCGCGGCCCAAAGAGGCCCCCCCCGAGGCACCCAAGACGCCGGAGACCTCCCCACGACAGCGAAGGGATCACCAAGACGTCCCAAGACGCCCAAGAGATACCCCATGAGGCTGCGATAAGCATCCAAGAGACCTCTCTGGCCCTTTTGCTTGCTCTCCTCCTCCTCCTCCTCCCCCTGCCTCCTCCTATCCCTTCTCCTCGTCCTCCTCCTCCTCCCCCTCCGCCTCCCCCCCCCCCTCATCCTCTTCATCTTCCTTCTCCCCGCGCCCTCATCCACCCATCCGCTTTTCTCCTTCGCCCCCTCTCTCCTTCGCGCGGTTCGGCCGCTCCCCTCTTTGCTCCCGCGCTTCCCTGATCACCTCTCAATTCGCCTGGACATCGTTTCTGGATGGGCTGGCGGTGATACGCGAAGCGTCTAGAATTTATTCCATGACACCGCTTTCCACTGGCCCTCTACGTCAGGATCTGGAATCAAATAGCGGGCGGACTCCTGCAAGTCCTGGGCCATGGCACCGAACGACAAAAATAGCTGCGTCGGGTCGTAGTGCCGCTCGATGTGGAGCACGGCGCCGTCGGGCAGACCATCCAACCATGTCGAGAAGGCATGGCCGTGCGCCTCCTGCAAGCCGCCCGCGAGGATGGACAAAGCCTGCTGATGATGCCTTGTTTCGCCTACTCCCCCAAGGCCGCGGAAGTGAGCCCCCTGGCCCCCGACTTCCTTCCAGCCGATCTTCATGGCACCGGACAAGCTCCACTCGTTCGGATGTGCACTCGAAAACTGATGGGGTAATCCGACCGCCACGTTGTCGCCCTGCCGTAGGCCGTTCTCAGTGTTCCACACACTGCGAAAAGACTCGTTACCCTCTCGCTCGTGCTGGTGATCCCGCTGTTCTTTTTTCAAGGTTCTGGCACTGCGCATGATTTGGGCATGGCCTTCCGACCGATGAGCCGTGCCTGCAGGGAGCTGGGGGCCACGACGCTGGAAGATCGGCCTCTCGGACGCCACCTCGCGGAAGCCAACTGCAATAACCTCGGCAGGGGTTGGAGCAGCATCGCCCTCGCCCGGCTCGGCTGAAACAGAATAGAAACCATCGGCAATATCTAACATGAATCACGCGGAAGACGTCGGCATTTAGTGTGCGTTTGAACCAACATGTTTACGGGTGCCAGGGAACAGGAAACCAGGCCCGTCTCTCCTGCCGCTTACCCTGCGGGCCTCACTGTGCGTAACTACGACGACGACGAAGACGACGACGCCGATGACGCCGAGACGACGACGACGACGACGACGACGACGAGACGAGACGAGACGAGACGAGACGAGACGAGACGAGACGAGACGAGACGAGACGAGACGACGACGACGACGACGAGGACCAGGACGAGGACGACGACGACCACGACCAAGACCACTACCACGTGCCTGCCGCTTCTCTGCGCAGAGGGATTGTCTCTCCCCCCAAGCTTACTGAGACGGTGGGGATGGGTGTATTTCTGCAGAGATAATCTTATTATGCTAGGTGTTTCAGCATAGTTCTGGACATTCTGATGAGGTACTTCTGGATACTGAGTAGTCTGATGGGGGGTCGTCGTCCTCGTCCTCGTCCTGGTCGTCGTCGTCGTCGCCGACGTCGTCGTCGTGGTCGTGGTCGTTGTCGTGGTCGTGGTCGTGGTCGTGGTCGTCGTCGTTCTCGTCCAGGTCCTCGTCGTCGTCGTCGTTTTCGTCGTCGTCGCCGTCGCCGCCGCCGTCGTCGTCGTCGTCGTCGCTGTCGTGATCGTGATCGTCGTGGTCGTGGTGGCGTCTTTCCACATAATTGATATTCTGATGTGGAAATTTTTGAATAATTGAATTTCTGATGTGGGTATGTCTGAAAAAAGCTACGCTGGTGGTATAATTGATTAGCTGAAACTATGATGTGGCTACTTCTCAATAACTGATTCCGATGTTGTGTATTTCTGAATTACTGAATGTTTGATTCGGGTATTTCTGAATAGTTGAATTTCTGATGTGGGTATTTCTGAAAAAAACTACGCTGATGGTATAATTGATTAGCTGAAATTATGATGTGGTTACTTCTCAATAAATGATTTTCTGATGTTGTGTATTTCTGAATTACTGAATTTCTGATTCGGGCATTTCTGAATAACTGAATTTCTGATTTGGGGTATTTCTGAATATCTGAATTTCTGATCTGGAGTATATCTGAATTTCTGAATTTCTGATTCGGGTATTTCTGAATTACTGAATTGCTGATTTGGGTATTTCTGAATAACTGAATTTCTGATTCCCGTGGCGTTTTAAAGAAGTGGGCCATTAGCAAAGCAAGCGCGCCTTTCAAGACATGCGACGTCCTGGCCTGCGCACTGCGCGATCCCTGGAAGGCCCGACCCTTTCTCCCCAGGGCCGGCTCCTCCTCCCAAGCCGTTTTATGGACTGCCCCTGGACCCGGCGAGGGCCCAAGGAGGCCACGACAATGGGCACTCGAACCGAACTATCACGGAATAAGACATGTCTTGTACATGTCTTCTACATGTTTCCTTTTTATTAGCATGTTCGAGACATGGTTTGAAAGCTCAGAGGCATGGCTTGAACATGCTTTGGACGTCTGGAAAGCATGTGGCAAGCCCCCGCTCCACTGACCGTCTTCCACAGCCAAAAAAAACGCCATGAATTCACGAAGCGAGATCGTGTGGCAAAACAGGGCTAGGATCGGGATAAATCGCTCCAGAGCGTTCCGGAGCGCTCTCAGAGCGTTCCGGAACGCTCTGGAGCGGCCGCGGCGCCCAATACATCCTCCAAACCCGCCGATTCTCAGAGATTTCGAGTTATCCCGATCCGATTTTGTCCCGATCTTCGCGTCGTTTTATGTGGGATACCGGCATCCGCGCGGACCGGCCAGACCGAGGCGGGCCCCGGCCTGCGCGGCCACGCCCAGGTGGGCCGCGTCGAGGCCCAGGCTGCCGACGTGCCGCGAGCCCACGCACCAGCCCTTGGTCCTCGGCAGGAGGCAGGGGCAACGATAGGGGGGGGGCTGGCAGAAGGGGAGGATGCATCGACATGGGAAACAGCGATAGCACCGCCGATAGATCGACGACAGGCCCCCGATCGTGAATCCGCAGCTTCCTGGGCAGGTTGGGGCTACTGGGCCCCTATCGGCGATCATTTGGCGATTGGGGATCGATGCATCCCCCCCTATGCCTATCCCTCCCCCTCCTCCTCCTCCTCCTCCTCCTCCTCCTCCTCCTCCTCCCCCCTCCTCCTCCTCCTCCTCCTCCTCCTCCTCTCTCCTCCTCCTCCTCCTCCTCCTCCTCCTCCTCCTCCTCCTCCTCCTCCTCCTCCTCCTGTCGTTGCCCCTGACAGGAGGGGGGGAGCAGGGTGCGAGCGGCGTGGGCGCAGACGTCTCGGCGGGCCCGCGGCCCGCGATCGAGGTGTGGGCCCCCCACACCTCCTCGTGCGACTAATTACAGCATCTCGCTTGGCATCTCGGGGTGGGGCGGGGAGGAAGAATATCCGACCTGGAACCTGGAACGGCCAGTTCGGTTCGGGGGGGGGGTTCGCCATCCGAGGGGCCCTCAGCGGGCCCATGTGACCGTCACACCGCGACGTGGGATGGAAACCCTGACCTTCCAGAGAGCTATTTTTCAGCACGGGAGGCCTAAAAACCTACAGAACGAAACGAGACAGCCTAACACCAAGACATTGAATAGCTCTGGGATAGGTTTTTAAGTCGCGTGCTATTTTTTTGCCCTCCTGGAAGGTCAGGGAAGCTGGCCATGCCCAGGGAAGTTGCCCAGACCTCCGCGGGGCACACGCATCGAAAAACGCCTGGAGCGCCGGAGGCCCGGGGAGCGCCTCCGGGGCCGGCGGTGGAGCGTCCAGCGGTGGCGTGGGCGAGGGGAGGGACCGACCAGCCATAACTGGGGAGCTGTGATCCTTCCCCCCCTGGGGGAACCCATCGCGTCGACGATCTCTCGAGAGGGGTGTCGAAATCGATGGGTCCCCCAGGGGGGTAAGGACCACAGCTCCCCCAGTTGTGGCTGGCCTGAGGGAGGCAGCACAGCACCCGTGCCACGCCAGCAGGGCGAGAGCTCATCCATGAAGCGAGGTGCCGGGGCGCAGGGAGCGATGTAGGTCGAGCAGCGCGCGTCAGTTCCGAGGCGCCGCGCGTGCCACTGGCGCCCTGCAGCCCTCCCGAGCGGGGTCCCCCAGGCTCGGCCCGGGCAGCTCGTTTCGTGCTCGCTCTCCCTCGCCCTGGTCTTCGCGCCGCCCTTGCTGCCGAGCGAATCCAAAAACGAAACAGCGGGCCACGAAACCAAAAACGAATCCAAAAACGAGCGAATCCAAAAACTAGCGAAACAGCGAATCCAAAAACGAGCGAATCCAAAAACGAATCCACCCAGCCCACCTGCGGTCCCACGGGGCTCAGCGTAATACCAGGAGATCTGGCGTGGGCTCTTGCGGATAGTGGACGCTGCGGCGCCAAAGGGGCCGTCGCGCAACATGGAGGGCCGTAGGTGGGGTGTTGTCGTTCGTTCTCTGGTTGAAGATCGAGGCCTCCTGGATGGTGTCGGGGTAGATGGGGTCGGAATATCGCGCCGCATCGCAAATACATCGCCAATGCATCGCAAATGCATCGCCGATGCATCGGCATTGCATCGGCGACGCACCAACGACGTCGGCCATGCATCGGCGCCGTCGGCGTGGGGAAACCCGGGCGCCACATCGAGCCGCATCGCCGATGTATCGGCGATGCGACGCGATCCTCCGACCCCACCTGCTGGGACCCCATCTAGGAGGCCCAGATTCGTGGGGTGGCCCCAGAAGTTTTTGGGCCCATCCCTGGGAGATGTGCGATGGGGGGGGCGCCCATCCTCGTCGTGGGGTGCGCCCAAGTAGCCCCCCTGGGGGGTGTATCCTACAGCTGCCCTTCCTGTTCTGAGCGGCCGTCTTTCGTCGGAAAGTGGGGGGGCCAGGGGAGAAAAAATCGCCCGTGGAGGCATCCTCCAGCATGCCGTGGCTCCGTCAGCGGCCCCTTTGGGGCAGACTTGACTTGCTGGCCCCCCATACAGGGCCCGCTACAGGGCGCCCCCCCGCCCGCCCGCCCCCCGGGATTCGGGAGTGGGCGGACCAAGGCCACGCCAGCGGCGACGTTGCTTCACGGCGACGCTGGGAACCCACTTGTAGGAAAGCACGGATCCACGCTTTCCTGCATGTCCACGATCTGCAAGTGTATCGAAAGAAAACGGCACAGCGAACTGCTGGAAAGCACGAGCTGCGCGTTCCCACAGTGGCGAAACCTACATCGCCGTTACCTACATCGACGTTAGCGTGTCGACAGACGGAGACATCACCGACACAGCGGAACGATGGAAGCGTAACCCCGCGACGGGAACAAGCGATACTAGAGGCCTCCTAGAGGGGGTCCGAGTAGGTGGGGTCGGAGGATCGCGCCGCATCGCCGATACATCGGCGATGCATCGGCGATGCATCGGCGATGCACCAGCGATGCACCGTCGACGTCGGCGGTGCCTCGGCGACGTCGGCGTAAAGCAAATCGGGCTCCACATCGAGCCGCATCGGCGACACATCGTTTTTTTTTACAGCCGCAGGCGGAAGCGCCGGCGGCGAGCAGTCACGGTCGGGCTGCGGCCGCGACTAAATTCCCGGGCGCGCGCGGGGGCCGATCGGCGACACATCGGCGATGCGGCGCGAATTTCCGACCCCATCTGCTCCGACCCCATCTGAAAGGCCTCGAGATCTGTCGGTCCGAGGTCTGGGGCCCACGCCCGGCCCAAGTCTGCTCCACATCGGCCCTCGGGGCCCCCCTCCCAAGAGCCATCCCGAGCCGTGGCCCTCCGAGGCGAGCCCAGCCGTGCCTGCGAGGAGCCACAAGGGGGGCGAGAAGCGCCAGGGCGGGTGACCAATCTTGATTGACAGAAAGATTCCCAACTCTTTGGGGGAGGACCTAATTTAGGAGCGCCAGAAGCATTAGGGTTCGCTTTTTGTTCTGCAGATGTATCAAACCAGACCGCCAGGATCTGTTATCCCTAGAAGGCGTTTCTTTACGTTCGGCGATGACGGGCGTCATGGGCGGGGGGGGAGGGCGGGGGGCGGTATGACGTGACGCCCCCCCACCCGCCATGTGGCTCCGGCACCACAGCCGCGCCCGCGCGCACGTCGCGACGAGCGACGAGCGACGAGCGACGCCGACGACGCGAGCAGCATGTATCAGGCGATCTGCGCCTGTGTACACCACAACGCTCGCGTGCACCTCGCCGCGCGCGTGCACCACAGCGCCTGCGTACACCGCAACAACCGTGTGCAACGCACCGCCCGTGTATACCACAATACTTGGGAGCACTACAGCGCCGACGTACATACACCGCAGCAGCCATGTGCAACACAACGCCTGTGTACACCCCAGTTCCGCGTGCACCGCAGCGCCTGTGCACGCCACAACGCCTGTCTACACCACAGCATCCGCGTGCAACGCAGCGCTGGTGTACACCACAGTGCCTGCGTGCATAGGACACGTAGAAGGAGCATGTACGTCAGGATCTGATGCGGACAACTAAACGCCACGCCAGGAAAGTTCTGATCATCGAATGCGACGTTTTTCCCTCCTCCCTCTTCCTCCAGCTCTTCCTCCTCCTCTTCCGCGTCCTCCTTTTCCTCCTTCTTACCCCCTGTCGTGCGGCTTGGCGTTGCAACGCACGTGCACATCTCAGCGTGCACCGCTGAATGGTCGATTGAATCGGTCCACTTGGTTCTCGGAAGGCCAATTTAGCTGGAGCCTCCTGGACGCAAATGGGAGTTAGGGTCACAAGGATTCCTTCTGAAATTCTATACACAACACTGGTGCTGTGTTGCACACGGCTGATGTGGTGCACACAGGCGCCGTGACGTACACAGGCACTGCAATGCACGCAGGCATTGTGGTGTACACTGGTGCTGTTGCGCACGGCTGATGTGGTGTACGGAGGCGCTGTGGTGTACACAGGAGCTGCTGTGCCCGCAAGCACGGTGGCACAAACTGACGCTGTGTTGCACGCGGCTGCTGTGGTGTACATCGGCGGCGTGGTGTACACAGGCGCTGTGGTGCACGCGGGCACTGTGATGTACACGCGCGTTGTGGCGCATATCGCCACCTACATGTTCGTGATACCCGTCCTCCGTCATTCCTAACCATTCCCAAACGCCGCCGGCGCGAAACGTGACGTCATCGACCCCCTTCCCCCACAGATGATTGCCGTCATCGGCCCAGTCTTAAAAACAAGCTCCAGCCGCGTCCGCGCGCACGACGACGACGAGCGACGAGCGACGAACCACGAGCGACGACGACGAACGACGACGACGACGACGACGACGACGACGACGACGACGACGACGACGACGACGCCTGCGGACCAGACACCTATGCGGATTCCTACGCGGACACCTACGCGGATCCCTATGCGCACGGCGGCAGTGCCCGGAGCGCACTGGGGGGGGGGGGGAGGGGGGGGAGCGTTACGTCATAGGGGGGGAGCGGGGGCCATGACGCCCGTCATGCCCCAAGCAATAAAGAAATGGCTTCCTATCATGAATGCGAAGACGGGGACCTCAGCGAGGCCGCGTCTTCATCGTGTCATCAGGGTTAGGGGTTAGGGGTTCTTCTGCGCTCGATGCCATCTGGGCCCCGCGGTCCGCAGCCGCAGCAGCACCCACGCCTGCTGCCCCGTCGCCGCCCCCAGCACCATCGCGCCCAGGGCCACCCCGAGCGCGCACAGGATCTCCGGGAGCTTCCGGGGCGGCCGCTCCGGCCTCGGACGCTGGTGGACCGTGGTGCGGGACTTGGCGTCGCCCGCGTGCCCGTGCTCCTCGTGGGCGGGTACGTGCCCGCAGGAGCGCCGCCCTCCCCCCCCTTCCCTTCTCCCGCCCTCGCCCCCCGGCGCCCTCCGGCGTCCTCGTCCGTCGCCCGTCGTTCCTCTGTCGTGTCGCGCCACTGGGCTCCGTCCTCACTGTTTTTTGTTGTAAAAAAAAGGGCACGCAGGAGCGGCCCCGGGCCCAGACCCCCTCGAGCCCTGGAGGAATCAGGACGGAAGGCTCTTCGCCAGATTGTCGGCCTCTCTGGGGGCCCTGGCCGGGCCTCGGGGCCGTCAACAAACCGACGCGGGAGGCGAGACCCGTCCCGAGGGAGGGGTCGAGGCATCTCGGGGTCGACGCCAGGACAACAATCACGACGTCGGAGGTCTGGGTATCAGGGTCCACTGCACGCATGAGCGACCCGTCCACTGCACGCATGAGCGACGACGTCCACTCACGCGAGGGGTCGAGGCCTCTGGGGGTCGACGCCAGGACAACAATCACGACGTCGGAGGTCTGGGGGTCGGGCATGCACGCGGGAGCGGCCCCGGGCAGCCGGCGCGCCACTGGGCTCGGGCTCCCCCGGCCGCCGCGCCCCGGAAGTAGGTCGCTCTCCGCCGAGGTGCCGCTCTGGCGCTTGTTGGAACCATTGCCAGGTGAAGGGTCGCTCATGCGTGCAGTGCACCCTAATACCTAGACCCCCGACGTCGTGATCTTGGTCATGACGTCGACCCCCCGAGGTCTCGACCTCTTCCCCAGGACCGGTTTCACCTCGCGAGTCGTTTTTTGACGGCCCCGAGGCCAGGCAAGGGCCCCCAGTGGGGCCGAACATGGCGAAGAACCTTCCGCCGTGATTTCTTCATGACTGGAGGGGTCTGGGGAGGGAGCAGACGGGTGCCAGCATCGCCTACGTCAGGTTCGTGTCGTGCTGACTTCGGCGTTGGTTTCTGACACCGCGGGGATCGTTCAACATTGACCGATCGGCCGTCTCCGACACGCCCAAATCGTTCCACATCGACCGATTCCGGGTCGCCCGCGGCGTTCAACGCTGAACGCCGCTGGCGGCGTCGCCGCTGGTCGACACGACACGAACCTACCGTACACGCAGGAAGAGGCCCCAGAGGGTTGGGCGCCCGAAGTATCCGGGGTAACTCGGGTCCGGGGTAACTCGGGTTTGGATTCCCGAAAAAGGAACCCGAGTTAGCCCTGACCCGAGTTACCCCTGATGATGTGGGGCTCTGGACGCCCGAATTATCTGGGGTAACTCGGGTCCAGGTTAACTCGGGTTCGGAATCCCGAAAAACGAACCCGAGTTTGCCCTGACCCGAGTTACCCCTGATGATTCGGGGCTCTGAGAGGGTGGCCTCTGGGGAGCGCGGGGCTGCAGGGGGTCGCGGAGGGGCCCAACCTCCGGCGTGCTCGGGAGACCCCCCCCCTCTCCCCGCGGTGGGCCCCCGGCACCAGGAGGCCCCTCCGCGAAGGGTGGCTCCTGCGCGCCGCTGGCAGGATCGGCCACAGCAGGGGCCCGACCACCAGCAACCTGCCACAAGAAACCCGACCCTGAGACCCCAGGATCTTGAGACCTTGAGACCTTGAGACCCCAGGACCTTGAGACCTTGAGACCTTGAGACCTTGAGACCTTGAGACCTTGAGACCAGAAACCTTCCACAAGAAACCCGACCCCTGAGACCCCACGGCGTCCATTGCTGTTTGGCGTGGGAGGTGGCCCCATACAGCCGGGGCGTTGACCTCAGGAACCCTAAATGAGGAACGAGGCCCCTGTTTCCCATAAGTTCAACCTCGATTTCCCATGGAAAACCTCAGGAAAACCCGAGGCAAACTGTGAAACATTCAAGGAACACCGAGCCCCTCCCCAACGAAAAGGGTTCCTTCTTCAGCGCCCCGACTGTAGGGTGGCCTTTTGTGGTGTGCGCGGGGCTGCTGGGGGCCGCGGAGGGGCCCAGCCTCCAGGCGCGCAGGCCCCCTGTGCTCTCGGGAGACTTACCCCTCCCCTCTGGGCCCGCACCAGAAGGTCACTCCGCGAAGGGTCTCTCTTGCGCGTCGCCCACAGCGTGATGATGACGATCATCATCATCAGCATCAGCATCAGCATCAGCATCAGCATCATCATCATCATCATCATCATCATCATCATCACCACCACCATCATCATCATCATCATCATCAGCATCAGCATCATCATCATCATCATCGTCATCATCATCACCATCAGCATCATCATCACCATCAATCATCAGCATCATCATCACCATCTGCATAATCAGCACAATCATCATCAGCAGCATCATAATCAGCAACATCAGCATCATCATCATCAACATCATCATCAGCAACATCATTGCCATCAGCAGTATCATCACAACCATCATCATCATCACCACCACCACCCATCATCACCACCACCACCAAAACCACCACCACCACCACCATCATCATCATCATCATCATCATCATCATCATCATCATCATTATCATCATCATCATCATCATCATCATCAGCAGCAGCATCAGCATCAGCATCAGCATCAGCATCAGCATCATCATCATCATCATCGTCATCATCTCGCGCGTCACCGACAGTACGGGCAACACGCAACTGTGACCCTAGGCTTGTGCGGTCTCCATGGTATTTGAAAGACAACATCCCAGAAACATTTTCGAGCACCCAGACAGTGTCTACCCGACACGCTGGCGAAGTGCCGAACGAGCATCGCCTCCCAGGGCCCGATACGTGAAAACCCTCAAGTTTCGGTACTCTCTTGGCGCTCTAAATTCTTTCTTCCTGGTGGTCAGGGCTAAAGTAGGTTGTTTGAAACATCACAACCCTAGGCAGAGGTCACTCCGCGAAGGGTCACTCTTGCGTGTCGCCGACAATATCGGCTACACGCAAGAGTGACCCCACAAGCCTCTCGCCGAACATAAATTGGCAGTTTCTGTTTTCGGTGCTTGCGTGGTCGGCGCTATACTTCAACGATGGCATGAGGTATTCGGCCCAGGCGCGGGGGTGTCCGAAATCGGGAAGTGCCCTCACAGCACTGCAGAACGCGTTTTCTGACAAGTGCCCGAGCTATCCAGCGCTTCGGTTTTGAACAGCGTTTCAAATTATTATTGACGAGAGGCAAGAGTGACTTTTGGTGCACGGACAAAAGGGAAAGGGGGGTGCAAGGTAGGTGGCCAAATCCAAGCGCGCAAGCAGTCGCTATCGCATCGCGCTCAGCGATCGGGGTGACCCCGATGAGCCCGCACTACGGGCCAATCCAGCGAAGGGTCACTCTTGCGTGTAGTCGACAATACCGCTGCTCCCGCGGCCTCTCCCGGAATCCGGGATGCGTTCGGGACACGATTCCGGGGCGAGTCTGGCCATGGCGACGACGAGGGCTCCCCGAGGAGAAGCCCCAAGAAGGACGAACGCACATGTTAATAGCGACGACATCGAGCAGATTCTCCCCCATGTCCTAAGTATGGGTTCGTGGTTGTTAGTTTGATGCCTCCGCCTCCGTTGAACCACTCCTCCCGCCTGACCCTTCTCATATCGCTCATACCCAAGCTTACTCACACACATGTTCAAACCAATACAGTCGGGGCGTTGACCTAAGGAACCCTAAATAAGGAACGAGGCCCCTCTTTCCCATAAGTTAAACTTCGTTTTTCCCATGCAAAAACCAACGGGGAACCCGAGGCAAACGGTAAAACAATCAAGGAACACCGAGCCCCTCCACAACGAAAAGCATTCCTTCTTCAGGGCCCCGACTGTACGCATTCAGATTCAGCCTAGCCGAACTCAACACTCAGTCCACACACCCAGGCTGATTGATGCCCAGACCCGCTCATTCTCAGACCAACTCGCACTCGCACTCGCTCGCGCTCAGACACGTCCTTATAGTCATGCAAGCGAACTCACTCACACCCAGCCTCACTCAAACTCGGACTCACGCTCATGTAGACCCACTCACTCACTCACTCACTCACACACACACACTCTCTCTCTTGAGAGTTCCATGCCCATCGCGGTGTGGCAGGCATGGCACGTGGGGACCCAAAAAAAGAGGAGCTGCCAGCGTAGGGCATGTGCCCTTTAGCAAACGAATTATATGGCGATGTCTCAAGCGAATTTGCCTGTTTGTTGGCCCGGGCTCCTCTCTTTGGGGGTCCCATGCTAGTGGCGGTATAGCAGGCGTGGCATGGGTCACCCCAAGGGGATCGGACATTTGCCAGTTCGCGCCCGAATGGGCGATTCAGGAAATCCTGAACCCAAAAATGCTTTCATCTCTTGGGGGCACACTGTGTACTCCAACCACCTTCCGCCGCCCTTCCGCCGGCGGAGGCGGCCTCGTTTTCCTTCCGCCGACCTTCCGCCGCAGAAGAGATGACAACTCCTTCGATCCTTGAAGGCAAGGCCCTGTGTGGAACGCCCCAACTAAAGGAGATGTCTCAGGCGGCTCGCTTCTTTGGTGGACCCAGCTCCTGCCTTCTGCAAGCCTCATGATCACCTCGATGTGGCAGGCATGCCGCGTGAGCGGCCCAAGGAGGAGTCACCGATGGGGGGGCCATTGAGCGGTTCGCTGGCTTGGACACAACCGGCTCCTTCCGCTTTCAGAGCCTCACGACCACCGCGACGCAGCAGGCACATCACTCGCACAACGCAGCGGGGCGCTGCCCAGGAGGCGCTACGCTTGCCCATTCGCGCCCAGATCGTGGGATCTCGAAAACGAATCGGCTACACGCAAGAGTGACCCTGGGCAAGAGTGACCTTCGGTGCGCGGCTTTTTGGGACCGCGGGGGGGCCAAAAGCAAGCGCGCAGGCCGCTGCTACCACTCCTCTTTCAGCCATCTGGGGGCCCATCTGTGCCCGCACCAAAGGTCACTCCGGCGAAAGGTCACTCTTACGCCTAGTCGAACGAAACGCTGGCTTGGGCCACCCCGGCCTCTCTCCTTTCAGAGTCCCCAGAGCGAGCCCGACGTGGCAGCCACAGCATGTGGGCACTCCAACGGGAGAGCAGCCGGGGACCGCCCGGTCGCCAGGGGCCAAGATCCCCTAACTCGGACGCTCACGAAGGGAAGTGCCAGGACTTAAACATGCAGATCGGGGGGACCTCTGCGTCGAGTGATGATGTGCGCTGAGCTCCTGGACCAATTCCACGTATTCCGCGCCCTCGAAGCACGAGTTCAGAAGCTCCATGGCGCTCCGCTCGAGGCGCCGCTGGGGCGCTCGGGAGGCACGGGCGCGGGCGCGCGGGCACGCGCGCGCTGCTGGCGGTCGGCGGTCCAGCGGCTGGCGCAGAGATGTCTACGGAGGGGGAGGGGGATTATGATGATGATTATGGTGATGGTGATGCTTCTGATGATGATGATTATGATGGTGATAGTGATGATGATGTTGATGACGATGACGATGATCGTGATAATGGTGCTGGTCATCATGATGATGATGCTGATGATGCTGATGATACTGATGATGATGCTGATGAGACTGATGATGATGCTGCAGATGGTGATCATGATGGCGATGATACTGATGTTGACGATGATGATGGTGGTGATGATAGTGCTACTGATGGTGTTGGTGATGGTGATCAGGATGCTGATGATGTTGCTGATGCTGATGGTCGATATGATGATGATGGTGGTGAAGATGATGATGATGATGCTGATGATGGTGGTGGTCATGGTGATGGTGATGGTGATGGTGATGGTGATGGTGATGGTGATGGTGATGATGATGATGATGATGATGATGATGATGATGGTGCTGATGATGATGATCCTGCTGTTGATGGCGATCATGATGATGATGCTGATGATGATGCTGGTGATTATGATGATCAGGAGGAGGAGGAAGAGGGGGAAGAGGAGGAAGAGGAGGAATAATAGAAGGAAGAGGAGGAGGAGGAGGAGGATAAGGAAGAGCAACGAAAGGAGGAAGGAGGGGAGGAGGAAGGAGGAAGAAGGGGAGGAAGGAGGGGAAGGAGAGAGAGGGGCGGAGAGGAGTGAGGGGAGAGGAGGAGAGAGGACGGAGGGAAGAGGAGGGGAGAGGAAGGAGGGGAGAGGAGGTTGAATGTGAGGAGGGGGGGGAGGAGGGCGCCAGGGTGAGCTCCAGAGGATTATGAGCAACGGGTACGATAAGGTGGAGGGGGAGAACGGGGGGGCGGGGGAGGAAATGCTGTACACTGTATGCCTTTCCTCCTCCTTCTCCTCCCTCCTGCTTGGGTCTCTCCTCCTCCTCCTCCTCCTTCTCAACGTATCCTTCTCGTCACCCCCCTTGCTGGATCGGCCTGTAAGGCGGCGGGGTTACCAGGCGCGCGCTCCGACTGGGCAGCAGCTGCGCCTGAAGGCCACGAGCGACAACAGCTCAGGGAAGATCAGACATGGTGTACGCAAACGTGTGTTCAAAAGACCAATCGTGTGGACGGGAGAGAGAGAGAGAGAGAGAGAGAAACCAAATAACAAGGGAGAGGGAGGGGGGTCAAGACAGAGAGAGAGAGAGAGACAGAGAGAACGAGAGAGAGAGAGAGGGATGAAAACCAACTAATATGTATAGAGCTAACATATCGATATGGATTGTATAGAGAGAAATAGACATACATATACATGTCATAGCAAAAAACGAATAATAGACAGCAAGAGAAATAGAAGGAGAGAGAGGAGAGGTAGAGAGAGGGAGAACACAAACACACACACACACACACACACACAAACACACACATACACACACACGCACGAAACGACAAACGAGAACTCAGAGGTAGAGGACGAGAAGGATGCGGGGAAGAAGGATGACGAGGAAAGCGAGGATACTGAGGAGGAGCAGGGAGGGAAGGAGGCAGGGAGTGGAGGCAGGGAGGCAGGAGGGAGGGAGGGAGGGAGAAGAACGCGGACGTCCTCCACACTCGCCCCCTCCATCTCTCCCTTCGCCCACCTTCCTCCTCCCCCTCCTCCTCCTCCTCCTCCCTCCTCCTCCTCCTCCTCCTCCTCCTCCTCCTCCTCCCTCCTCCTCCTCCTCCTCCTCCTCCTCCTCCTCCTCCTCCTCCTCCTCCTCCTCCTCCTCCTCCTCCTCCTCCTCCTCCTCCTCCTCTCTCCTCCTCCTCCTCCTCCTCCTCTCCCTCCTCCTCCTCCTCCTCCTCCTCCTCCTCCTCCTCCTCCTCCTCCCCCTCCTCCTCCTCCTCCTCCTCCTCCTCCTCCTCCTCCTCCTCCTCCTCCTCCTCCTCCTCCCCCTCCTCCTCCTCCACCTCTGCGCTGGCACGCGAGGACGGGCCACCCGGCGCGCGCTGCCAAGCGGAAACACAACGCGGCAGCACCCGGGAGGGAGACGAGCAGCAGCAGCAGCAGCAGCAGCAGCAGCAGCAGCAGCACCAGCAGGAGACGGGGAGCACCGCAGGCACACCCGCCGGTGAGGCCTGGCGACCGACCCGCGACCGCCGCTCGCAGCACCCGCTGCGGGGTCGTCCTTCTTCAGGCGGCAAGTCCACTTGCCTGGAAGGGCGGGGGGTGGGCCTGGCGAGGCCCTGAAGGCACTCTGGATTTGATGCAAGTCGAAGCTCCCTGGCAAGACGTTTTCGAGCCAGCACTGTCGCATGAGGCAGCGGAAGGGGGGGGAATACAACACCCCTGCAGGTTAGCTTGCAAGAACTCCGTGGCAGCCTCGCTCTGCCTGCCAGCCTGGGGCCTGCGCCTTCGCGCAGGCAGGCCACGAACACACATCATATGCGGTTCTCGTTTGCCGTGTGCATGTGCAGCCTCGACACTTGATCGTCGGGGGCCACGGCTGAATTTCCCTGCACCGTTCGCGCTCGTATCAGAACTGCGGCCCGCGGAGCAGAACAAGCATGCGTCGCAGACGGGGGAAGAGGAGATGTAGGAGGGGAGAAGGCGGGAGGGGGACACCTTAGGATCTCAACGCTCAAGACAGCCCACCCAGCCCTTCTACTCCACCTCTTCCCATTCCTTCCCCTCCCCCTCTCCCTCTTCCTCTCCCTCCTACCCCAATCCTCCTCCTTCTCCCCTTCCTCCTGCTCCTCCTCCTCCTCCTCCTGCTCCTCCTCCTCCTGCTCCTCCTCCTCCTCCTCCTGCTCCTCCTCCTCCTCCTGCTCCTCCTCCTCCTCCTGCTCCTCCTCCTCCTCCTGCTCCTCGCCCTCCCCCACTCCCTTCCTCTCCCTCGCTTCCGGATCTCCAGCCCTTCCTCGCCCCTCCTCCTCCTCACTCCTCGTCCTCGCCCCCCCACCACCTCGTCTTTTTCTTCCCCCCACCTCCTTCGCCTCCTCCCATTCCTAATGTCTTGTCCTTCCACTCCCTTCCCCCATCCTTCTCTTCATCTTGCTCCTCCTGCCAGAGAGGTGGAATGGCCGACCAGAGCACACCAGGCACCCCTCCTCCTCCGCCTCCTCCTCCTCCTCCTCCTCCTCCGTCTCCTCCTCCTCCTCCTCCTCCTCCTCCTCCTCCTCCTCCACCAGGCACCCCTCCTCCTCCGCCCCCTCTTGGGTCCTCCTTGCCAGCCGACGCCGCCATGGCGCGCCGGCTGCGGCCGAGGCGGCGCCATGCGGGGCCCGCCGCGGGCGGACCGGCAGCGCGAGGCCGCCAGGCCACTGCGCTGGCTGGGGCGCGCGCGAGCGGCGAAGGGTTCCAGGCAGACCAAGCCCCACCTACGACCCCAGCAAGCCCCACTAGATCCCACCACCCACCACTAAAAGAACCCAAGTAAGCCCCACTCGAGCACGCACTACATCCCACTAAATCAAATGAAACCAAGCTGGGATAAAATGCCATCGTGGGGAACCCATCAGCGTGTTACTGTCCAGTAGACACGAGGCCCTAAGACAAAAGCGAAGAAACAACACGTTGACGGGCTCCCAACGGACGGATGCGTGGCATCGGTATTATTTCCGTCTGCCGCATGTGTCGCCGCGCCGCTTGTTCTCGACGCGCCCAATGGGCCGACGCCGACACCACGGCAAAACCATGGCAAACCCTGGGACGACGCCGGCACCACGGCAAAACCATGGCAAACCCTGCGCCCCGCGCCCAAGGAGGCGCAACCGGCACCGCGGCAAACCCCGCGGCACACCCACCGCGCCGGAGGCGGCGTTCTCCCTTACGGTGGCAACACATGGGAGCTTTCCATACCATCTTTTGGCACTTGCGGATCGAAGCCAGTCGACGCTAAATCGACGCTAAATCGACGCTAATCGACGCTAACCGACGCTACATCGGCGCTACATCGGCGCTGTCTCATCGACTCTCAGACGCTAATCGACGCTAGTCGGCGGAATGCAGAGGGTATACGAGGCTCCCATGACTTGCTACCGGACGCCCTGGTGCCCGCGGCGCCCTCCCCAAGACGGAGGGCCGCGCGTCGGGACAAACGGCGAAGGCGACGTGCTCGAGCCACTGGAGAGGGGGAGCCGGCGGTAAACCGTCAACCTTGGTTACCGCCGGGAACTTGTAGAGCTTCCTTGCGATATACATGAATGGCATGCGAGCGCGGCAATCTCGCAGTCCGCGCGCGCGCACGAGGGTGCCATTTCATGGAGGAGGAGCTGGAGGGGAAGGAGGAGTGCCGCAAGTCAACCCGTCACACCTGGCCGGGGGCGCGCCCTCGGGCCGGGCCCTCGAGGAGGCCCGAGGGGGGCCCGGCCGTGGCAGCGAGACTGCCCCCCCTGTAAAACGACGCGAAGATCGGGACAACATCGGATCGGGATAACTCAAAATCTCTGAGAATCGGCGGGTTTGGAGGATGTATTGGGCGCCGCGGCCGCTCCAGAGCGTAGTTCCGAAACGCTCTGAGAGCGCTGCGGAACGCTCTGGAGCGATTTATCCCGATCCTAGCCCTGTTTTACCCTGTTCTCCCGGGCGGCCCCCCCGCAACAGGGGAGCACGGGGGATGCCCGCGCTCTCGACCCCGACCTGCATCGGGCGGGCCCCCGTCCCCAAGCTCGGCGAGCCACAAGGGCGACGACGGTCTCGGGGCTGCGCCCGCGGGCACCGGGCGCATCGTGGCGTTCGGCACCGGGAGGAGGAGGTGCCTGTCGTGGAGACAGGGATGTGTGTTTCAGCTGGTGATTGTCGATCCGAGGCCGAGGCTGCAGCAATTTGTAGGAGACCGATTTCTGACCACACCCACTTCCCGAGGTGCCTTGCGAAAAGCGGTTGCTAGAGGTGGAGGTGGGCAGTTTCCCCGCCCCAGGGGAAGGAAAAACTACCCACTTCCACCCCCGAGGGCCTATCATAGAATCGGGGATCCAGAGGTGGATGTGGTCAGAAATCGGTCTTCGAATTTGGACGCCCGAGATGGGTACGGAAAGAATGGGTACTGTGCCCAACAACCCATGTTGTCCCAGACCAACAGCGGCCGCTGTTGGGCAGGCGGCCTTCTGTCTTAAATGGACACAGACCGCGGCGGCGCTGACAGTGAGGCCTGCTCAAAATGGACAGGAAATGCTGTTGGGCATCGTACCCATTCTTTCCGTACCCATGTCGGGCGTCCAGATGCAAACAAAGCACACGAGGAGCAATGGGGGCGCGGGAGGGCCCTCCCCGCCGACGTGGCACATTTTTCCGTCTCGTCGGCCCCCCAGGGCATCTCGACCCCTCGCCCGGGGCTTGCTCCTCTTCGTGTGATCTCGCTCGTCGACGGCCCCAAGTCCCGGGAGCGGCCCCCGGAGACCGAGTGCTCAGACTGCGTTTTTTCTCATGGGGCTCAGGCAAGTTGACTTGCATGGGATCTTCCCCCCACCCTCCACCGCCTTGTGAAACAATGCTGGGCCGAAACGGCGTGCAGGTGAGTTCCGGCTGGCACGAAATCCAGAGTTCCTCCAGGGCCTCGCTAGGGCCTTTTGTCTTCCTTTTTTCAAGAAGTTCCCGTCGGTCGGAAGAAGTGGGTAGCATCATTAAGTAGGAAGGCGTTGGAAGTAGGCATTAAGTAGGAAGGCGTTGAAAGTAGGTTGGGTCTCCGCCCGCCCCCTAAAGTGGAAGGAGAAGGGGAAACCACTTGATCATTGAGGTAGGGAAGCGCCTAACATAGATTGGGGACTGGAAATTCGAACACGCCTACTCTCAACGACCGGCGCGTAAAGCTGCCAGAGCCTGAAGAGAACTGCCTCCTACAGAAAGCCGGCCCCCTGCGATGGTTGTACCGCGCCGCCTGGACTTGCTTTCCTGGGGAAACCGAAAGGCACCGATACCGCTACCCCCCCTGGACCCCTCCCGGGGGGCGTTCTGACCAGGATTGCGAAAGGCATCCAGCGGTGGCGACGAGGGCCTCCCAGGAGGCCCTAAACAGGGGACAACGGGCGAGGCGGCAGAGGCATGGCTACCTTCTCCTTTTCCGATGGTCGGGCCATGGCTTGTGCCTCCGACGGCCGCTGGGGACGATCGGGGCACCACCACCCCAGCGCGTCTTCTGGCGAGCGCAGCTGCTGGAGACCACCCCGAACAGGCTGGAGAACCGACGAGCACGGTCAACCCGTAGAGTCAGGGCGCACGGTGCAGCAGGGGCCCGAGCACAAGACACCTTCCACAGGACACCCAACCCTGCGACCCCAGGGCGTCCACTGGTACCTGGTGTGGGGAAGTCGGGCTCTCCATCGCGAAAAACTCGTCGAAGGCCAGGAACCCTAGGACACCCTGGAGGCAAGCATGAGCCTTGGAAGGCCATGTCGACACTTTGCGAGCGGGGCGCGGCCAGCGAAAGCGGCCAGGGATGGACCGAAGGGGTAAGACGAAAAGGTTACCTTGGAAAGCCGCTCATCCTTACGATGCGGGTCGACTGTGCCTCTTCCGGCGAGGCGCAGCCTTTGAAGATCACCCCAAGAAGGCCGGAGAACCGACGAGCACCGCCGAAAACGCCAGGAAAACCTGACAATGTTGAGCCCGGAAGCCCCGACCCCACCCCAGGGAAACCTCGAAGAATCTGCTAGGCCGTCCGAGAGCCCCTCCAGGACCGTCGAGCCTGGAAAACCGCCGACCGACGAGAACCGCCCCTTGCGGCAAGGCCTTCGGGGAGCGCGGCCCACTCGCGAGCAGGACGGGTCGCAGGGCACGGCTGGTGGGCCGGTCTCCTCCGGCTCCTGGGGGCCTCCTCCTCCTCCTCATCCTCCTCTCTCCTCCTCCTCCTCTCCTCCTCCTCCTCCTCCTCCTCCTCCTCCTCTCCTCCTCCTCCTCCTCCCCCTCCCCTCCTTCTCCTTCTCTCTCCTCCTCCTCCTGCTCCTCCTCCCTCGTCGTCGTCTCGTCTCCTCCTGGTCCTCTCCTCCTGCTCCTCCTCCTCCTCATCCCTCCTCCTCCTCTCCTCCTCCTTCCTCCTGCTCCTCCTCCTCCTCCTCCCTCTCCTCCTCCTCCTCCTCCTCCTTCTCGTCCTCCTTGTTTTGTTCCACGCTCTCTCGGAGGGCGATTGCGCGCGACCGCCGGGGGGGCGATGGCGCGGTGCGGTCCAGCTGGCCGAGCGGCGAGCTTCAGGGGCCTTGCGCTACATAGCTTACACAGCCAGGGTGCGGGAATGCACCGTTGGGATCACCGCTGGCGAGCATGTCTTCGGAGTATGTCTTCAGAGGTTGCCAAACATGTGCGGCGAGACGCGTTCACGAATTCTTCATTATGCGGCGGCCCTGCGAAACAATTTGAAAGGCATGGTCTAACCATGAGATTTGATGTCGCAAACACAATGCAAAATCATGCAGGTCACTTCGAAATCCCTGGGTCGATTCCTGCTGCTGGATTTCTCGAGCGGATCGATCCACGAGTGCCCTTGGACCCGAGGCTGGGGGAACCATATGGTTTTGGTCACGCGCCCCCTCAAGCCTCTGGAGTCCTCACGGGGGCATCCAGGCATAGCCAGGGATGAAACAAACGTTACCATCACTACACCCTTCCCCACCTCCCTCTTCTCCTTGAGCGTGTATCGACTCCACGGGATTTGTCCCTTCGGGGTGGAATACCCACATTTATACATAAATATGTATACATGCACATACATACGTATATATATATATATGAGATGTATAGAGACGGAGGAAAGAAAGAGAGAGAGAGAGAGAGAGAGAAACAAGTAGTCAAAACCACCCAGACCAAATGCTAGGACCATAAGGGCCCGCGGGGGGGGCTAACTACGGGGAGGGGCTCAGACTATTCAAGACCAGGAATAAACAACTCAATCCGCACAGCTCCGCGAGCAACGCTCACCGATCCAGCAGACCAAGCTGCCGCCTCTCAGGAATACCCTGCCAGAAACGAGCATGACGAGGTAAGAACTCTCGCGCGCCGCGGGGCCGCTCCCGCCGACAGCCTTCCATCGCGGAGGTCGTCGCGCCAGGGCGCGATCCCCAGGAGGGGTGCGCCAATGCGCGAGGTCGGCGGATTTGGCGGAGCCAACGGTGAGGAAAAGGAGGATGGGGGATGAGGAAAGGGTGGCGGAGTAGAACGAAGAGGACGAAAAGGGCAAGGGGAGGGGTAGGAGGGGGCAGGCAAGGGCGAGGAGGAAGAAGAAACGAGAGGGAGAGGGCGAGGTAAAGGAAGAGGACAAGGGCGAGTGGCAGGTGGAGCAGGGCGAAGGCGCAGCAGTGGCAGCAGCGGCAGTGACAGAAGAGGGAGCAGGGGCCGCTGCTCCATTTCAACAGACAGCTTGCTGCTGTCACTGTTGCACCATCCTCGGCGGCATTGCCTGGGCCAATCCCCAGGCCGACGCACCGCCGAGGCCGCGCGCCCACGCCAGCGCCGCAAGCTTGCAGCACTGGACCAGCCAGCCACGTCGAGCCAGCCATGCCCATTTTCCTAGTTGTATCCTTAGCTCCCACTCCCTCTTCACCCACCCCCTTTCTCCTCGTCCCCGCTCGCCCCCCTGCCCCCCCCCCCCTCGTGCTGACTCCCTCCTCCTTCTCCTCCTTCTCCTCTTCCAGTCCTGCCTTCCCTCCTCTCCCTCCTCGTCCTCTCCTTTCTTATATGAGGCAAAGTGCGGAGCCCCCATCTTATTTCCCCCCTCCCTCCTCCTGATCCCCCTCTCTCGCCCATGTATCTGGGACTGCTGGCTCGGCGCGGCTGGCCTAGTTCCCCTCGCAGCAGACCCCGACCCTGCTGCAGGGATTCCACTCGCGGATCGTTGTCCCCCGGCCTAGAAAGACATCGAACCGGAAAGAAAACCCGAAATCAAGCCACGCCTAAACCACGACGGCGAAACCTTTGATCTCCCAAACCTCACGGCCCAGAGGCGGGGCGAAGGCGCGGGAAAACGATCCGACATCGCTGGGGGCTGGCTCGCCGGCGCCGGCGCTCCAGCCTGAGAACTCCAGGAAGGCGTCCACGAACAGCTAGTCGCACCCCTCCTCGACCACGCACTCGACCGCGCTCTGGAGCCACGAGTTGGGCTTCTTCGCCGTGATGAGCCAGCGAGAGCACGCCTCCATGGCCGCCTCGTCGGACTTCATCCAAAACGAGAGGCGCACGCCGAGGACGTCCGAGGTGGAGATCACCTTCTCGGCGAAGACGAAGTTGAAGGGGATCACGACGCCCTCCCCGGAAGACACCATCGTGTGGTACAGGCGGCCGCCCGAGGAGAGGAACGCGTCGATCGACTCCTTGGCCATGCCCTTAAAGAAGGACAGGAGGTGATCGGGGCCGACCTGGCTCATCCCGTTCCTCTCCATGAAACTCCGAAGCGACGCGCAGCTGGCCGCCACCACCTGCCGACGCCCCTGAGTGTGGACGCGGAGCGATGGGCACCGCCCGCGCTCGATGCTCACCGTCTCCATGGCCTTGCAGATGCCGAAGACCGCTGGCTGGAGCTCCGCGCGCATCTTCTCGAACGGGAGGTGGGACGAGTCAAGGACGACTGCGTGGAGCACCGACATCGCGTGCTTGACGGCGTCGCCCTTGATGGGCTTCTCAGCGCGGCCGTCGGTGGTTCGCAACCTGCCGAGCAAGCGGGCGGGGCGATGGAAAGAGATGGCGAGAGGGAGGCGGCGAGGGAGATGGCGAGGAGAGACGACGAGGTGGACCCAAGGAGGACGCGGAGGAGGAGGACGAGGACGAGGAAATAGATGAGGCAGAGGAGAAGGAGGATGAGGAGAGAAGAGGAGGAGGAGGAGGAGGAGGAGGAGGAGGAGGTGGGGGAGGAGGAGGAGGACGGGGAGGAGGAGGAGGAGGAGGAGGAGGAGGAGGAAGAGAAGGAGAAGGAGGAGGAGGAAGAAGGTGACGGCATCACCTCCAACCTCCGACTCTGCTGATCCTCCTTCGTCGTCCGCCTCCACCTCCTCCAAATCATTATCCTTTTTCTCTCCTCGTCCTGGTCCTCGCCCACGGTGCTCCTCCGATCCTCCCCCGCAACCTCGAGGACTGGAACTTCGGCGCGAACGCGTTGGCCATCTCCGCGAGGGCATCGAGGTCCTCCTGGCTCACGTTCTTGACGCGGGTCGGCGTGGCCAGGGCGTTGACCGGGATGTCCTGCGCGATCTCGAAGGTCGGCATGGCGGTGCCCTTCTCGACGCCCCGGTCGAACAGCTGGAGCCTCGACCCGCTGCCCTGAAGTGCTATGCCAGCCTTGTCGCCCTTCGCGACCTTCCTGGCCTTGCCGCCGTCCTTGTTCTTCTCGCACGCCTGCTTGAGTGCGTTCTTCAGCGTATTCGTGGCGTTCCTCGTCATGGAGATCAGGTCATTGAGGGCGATCTTGAAAGGCTTGACCTCCTCCGCCACTTGTTTCAGATCTGCTTCGGACTCGGCGAGCTTCAGCTTCTCCCAATAAGGCTGGTACTCATGCAGCACAATCAAGCTCCTGTAAGAACGGCATGGCGGAGTCAGCTGCGAACTCCGAAACCCTGCGATGAAGACCTTGAGATTGCGGGCTGCCCTCTTCTCGCGCCTCTCCGCGATGCTGAGGCCCTCGGTGGAGGTGGTCGCCGAGAACCTGTCGACTGGGCCAGCGCGATCCGCATCCTCGAGGAGGGGGGGAGGTGGAGGAGGAGGAGGAGGAGGAGGAGGAGAAGGACGAGAAGGAGGAGGAGGAGGAGGAGGAGGAGGAGGAGGCAGAGGAGGAGGAAGAAGGCGGGTGAGGAGGGCGGATGAGGAAGGTGGCTGGAGGGAGAAGAGAGGAGGGAGGAGGAAGGATCGAGGAGGGCGGAGGAGGGGGAACGAGGAGGAGGAGGAGGAGAGGACGAGGGTCGGACGAGGAGGTGGAAGCAGGAGGAGGACCAGGACGAGGAGGAGGACGAGGAGGTGGAGGAGGAGGAGGGGGATGAGGAAGTCACAGTGGGTAGGAGTACACTGAAACTCCCCCTGGCTCGTCGACCCTCCTGCCTCGTTAACTCCTCCATTCCCTGTCCCCCCTCATCCATCCTTCCATCCTCATCCGTTCACGCCCCCAGTGTCCTCGAACGAGCTGGAGAACATGCGCCTCGGCGGCCCACCGACACCGGACGCCAGCGCCACCGCGACCTTGTCGACCTTCTCGGCACTGTCCACGACGTCAGGGGCCTTCGCTAGGGTCGAAGTCTCAGCGCCAGCGCCATCGCAAGCCTCCTTCTTCTCTCCAAATACCTCGCCGGCCGCCTCAGCATCGTTGTTGCCCTTCTTGTCGATGATGTCCTTCTGCTGCTCGTCCTTCTGCTTGTCGCCCTCCGTCTGCTCGTCCTTCTTCTCGCCGTGCTCGCCGCCCTCGTCCTTCTGGTCGTCGCCCTCCGTCCTCTGCTCGTCCTTCTGCTTGTCGCCCTCCGTCTGCTTGCCCTTCGTCTCGCCTGTCTCGCCGCCCTCGGCCTTCCCCTGGTCGGGCTTCTGCTCAAGCTTCTGCTGCTCTGCCGCAGCCTCTGGTGGACCCGCTGGCGAAGCAGTCAACTGCAGACAGCTCTTCGACGATGGAGGACTGCACGCAGGGGAAGCCTTGCTCATTGGCGACTCCATGGAACGAAGACTAGCAACACTGGCCTCCGCCAAAGCCTCCTCCGTCAACATCGGGCCAACTAACTCTTCGGGCTGATCATCCCAAGCCTTCGAGTGATCCGCCAATCCCAGGACGAGGCTGCACGCCCGAGCACGCATGTTGATCACGTTCACCTCGGTCTTGAACTTCTCGCCAAAGCTGTGCTCGTTCACCTGGTTGACGAGATCCAACGATTGAGAATGAAGATCACGCAACACCTTCGAGATGTCAGTGGCCCATGTTTCCTGTGTCCTTACTGCCGCGGCGATCTTCAGGTCCTTCTCCACCCATATCTTCCGCTTCTTCTCAGCAGGTGGTTGATCGCCGCCATCCTGACCAACTTTTCTTTTCTTCTTGCTTTTCGGGTCAGTCGCCTCCTCCTCGTGACCATCGCTACCGACGTCTTCGTCGCCAACCTCCTCTCCATCATCGGCAGCTGCTTTCATCGCCCCCGCCAGCCCCTTGATGCCTCCAAGGTTCACGAGCTGGCCGTCAAACGCGCTCGAGAGAGAGGCGCGGTCGGCAGCCTTCGCGCCCTTGCTGAGCAGCTGGAAGACGCCCTTGGAGTCCAACTGGGCGCTGGCTCCAGTCACATCCTGGAGGTTGGTGTGCAACTTGTTGTACGCCCTGTCGATGTCCTCCTGTGTCGTTTTTTTCGTGGCCTTGTCGAGCAGATCGTACCCCTGGCCTCTGATGTAGGCGTCGCGGTCCACAAGGACCGTTCTCACTGCAACGCCGAGCCTCGTCTCGTAGCCCTTGTGCTCGGCCATGTAGTCCACGATCTCCTCGGGGTCGTCAATCCTCCTCTTGAACTCTGCACTCGCCTCGCTCGAGGACAATCCCCGCGGAGGCCAGTTCTTGGGCTTCGACGCCCAGTGGACGAACGCCACCTCGTGCATCATCTCCTTGACCCCGTCCCTGAGCTGCTGCTGCTCGACCCGTACCGATTGTTTGTACTGCATCGGGGCGAAAGCCTTCGGCTTGCTGTGCTCCTTCGCGAAGTCCTGACAATTCAACCGATACCACCTCTTAAGCTTCGCCCACTTCTTTGGGCAAGACCTCTGCACCTCGTACCACTCGAGCTCGTTCTCAGCCTTGCACGCGCGATAGATGTTGTCCCTCGTGCGGAGACACGGCTTCAAGCACACTGTAGATCCAGGCTTGAACTCCGAGAGGAGCTTCGTCAGCCCGCAGTCAGTGCACTGCCGTCTCCCAGCCTTCACCGTGGTCGGGCGACCGTTGGCAGACTTCTTCGGGCTCCCCTTCGAGCGCTTCTTCTTCGCGCCGCCCTTCGCCCTCCCCTTGGCCTTATCCTTTCTGCCGGCCGGCTGTGCTGCGCCAGAGCCCGCCTCGTCGTCATCCTCTGCGCCCGGCGACTGCTCGCGCTGCTCGCAGTCGCCCTGGCTGGACCCGCCCATCCCGTTGTTCAGCTCTTCGTCCGAGTCCATGGCGCCGAGACGTGCCCGGCCCAGCGCGGGGGGCAGGGGGGGCCGCGAGGGGCCAGCGACTGGCACCACTGTGGGCCATAAAGCTCGACCCTAGAGAATTGACCGCAGGCAGCCCTGATCGCAGACCCTCTGGAGGTAAGACCCAAACTCATTCCTAGCCGAATCAAGCCACTCCCTAGAACATCTGAAACGCCCCAGAGCACATGAGTCCGAGGACCCGCCCATACAGAATCCAGAACAGAAATCACCGTCCGATTTCAACGCACACGGTCATCTAGATATAAACCCGCTGAGACTAACACCCTGCTACATCGCCGAAACCAGACGCCATTTCAATGAGAGCGAGGCTGCCCCAGCCGAATGACTACTGGAGGAGGCTGGGGAAGGGTCCACAAGGAAACATCTCGAAACTACAAGTGGCCAACATAGGGGCAGTCTAAGGGCGGCCCTCCACGGGGCCGATGGCTTCATGGGACAATCCCGATGGCATGGGGAGGAGACTTACGGGTGAGGGCTTGATTTTGCTTACCCCTCTCAGCAAGATAAACTGATCAATTGTCGAATCCGCTGCTGGCGCCACGCACTGCCGCAGTCGCCCACCCCAGTCAAAGCCAGCACGCCGACGTACATCGGCGAGATCGCGCTCTCCTCAGGCTGGAGACGCGGGCTCCGAATCCGTCGCCGACGTCCTCAGGATCGAGTGGGAAGTGGCGAGGACCATCATGAGGACAGCGCCGATGGCGGGCCAGGAGAAGCCGACCCCGCAGATGGAGCGCAGCTCCGCACACTGCAAGACGTCCTCACTGACGGGGGGGTACTCCGCCATGACGATGGACTTGAACGGGAAAAACTGGCCGGCGTCATTCGCGACATACTGCGGCACTGGGAAGCCTTGAATGAGGAGGTGTTCGATCGGCAGGATCTCCTTCATCGAGATGATGTCGAACAACATCGACCTCTGGAGAAGCGACGGCGCATACTTGGATACGCCGAAAAAAAGGTCATTCTGAAATAAGTTCACGATCTGGATGGGAACCTTCGCCTCCAAGCAGCGCTCGCAGTCCGCGCGCTCTAAATTCTGGTGCAACCTCACCTTCATCACCGCGTCGCCGAACGGGCCGAGGTCAAGGTGGGACTGGCTCACCGGCAAGAGGACGCGCCCCTCCCCAGCGCCGCCAGCCCCAGAGCTAGACGCGGCGGAGGACGGCGGAGCTGCCTCCCGTGGGTGCGAGTCGCCCACGTCGATGGCCGCCTGCGACTCCTCGGTGAGGTCGAAGATCCCCCACGCCTAAAGGGGGATGAAAGCGCGAGGGCGAGCGCAGAGGCGAGGTCGAGGGGAAGGAAGAGAAGGCGAGAAGCGAGCGGGGTAAGCATGGGCAAGGGCGAAGAGCGAGGAGGAATGAGGGGGCGAAGAAGAAGGATGGGAAGAGGTGAAAAAAAAGAGGCGAAGGAGGAGGATAGGAAAGGGGGGGGAGGGCGGAGAACGGGGACAGTCGAGTTGGGAGGTAAGGGGGAATGGGTGAGGGATGTGGGAGAAAACCTTCTGCCTCCAAGACCCCATTTGCCCGCCTCCCTCCCTCGTCGGGAGGGGGCTCGAAAAAGTGAATTTACCCTGGTCACTGCTGGTGGCAATTGGCAACGAAGGATTGGGTGAAGGGTTTGCTATCTTGACGCCCCGCGCCTCCTGCCGCTTCTGAGCCCACCCCATGACGTGCGATCTGAAAGTGGCGTCATCGGAGGAGGCAGCCATGAACACCCTGGCGTCGGTGACGCAATTCCTGAAGAACATCTCCTCGAATACGTGATTCATGGTGTCCTCGCTCAGGGTGTGGATCGTGCCGGCCATGTGGAACCACGCGTAGACGCGCTTGCGGCTGGTGGGGAATCCGAGGTCCACTGGGCTGAAGCGGTGCTGGAACAGACAATACAATCGAGCCCCCTCACCTTCATGCCAAAGCAACGGCCGGCTCAACGGGTCTTTGGGCGAGGCCATCGTCGGTTCCCAATCTGGCGGCGAATCGACCTCGCTTGCATTCAAAATCTCCTGGAAGGGCTCCACCTTGAAACTCGGGGCGTTCTCCATGATGACGTCGTCGGGCTCGTAGAATCGCGTGCTGTGCGCCCAGGTCAGCGCCGGGAGCGTGGACTCATCCAAGAAGTTGTTATGACTCCCAATCGCGCACCATGGATTGCATGTGACCCCGGCGCACTCCAACCACCTGCACGTCTTGAAGCGCGGATCAGATCTTGGCGAGATCTTGCACCTGCGATTGTGCTTCACGCAAAAGGCCGAGTCGAGGAAACTGATCTGGCTCAATATTTCATTCAGCTCCTTCACGAACTCACCAGCCATCGATGTCTTGATGTCCTCGAACTCCTTCTGAGAAAGCGCCGGTGGATGCTGCTGAGTACCCTTCAGGTCGTCCTTCAGCTTCTTGAATGAAGAGAGTCTCTCAGCAACCAGAGCTTCGAGCATCTCGCGGCTATCCTGTGGCACCCGATCCATGATGTCCGCGAAGATGCGCTCTGGGGCGCCGCGGCCCGAATGGGCAGCCAAGACCTTCAAGGGAACCTCGCCCTTGTCCCATGCGGCGTACACGTAAAGATTCTGCGAGAAGCTCTGGCTGAAGTGGTCGGACGCCCTGCCGAAAATGTAGGCCGCGACGCTGCCGCAATTGCCTCTCAGGGAGCGGAAGTACAACGCGGGAAAGGTCGAGGATGACGACGGGGAGGGGGAAGGAGGCAGGGTCCGTCGGTGGACAGAGGAGGGGAAGGGCGAGGCATGGGCTGTGAAAATCAAGCGGCCTGCCGTCGCAGTCCATCTTAGATGGACTGCGACGTGCCATTCGTAGATGGACCATCTACGAATGGCATGGCGACGAGTGGATGGGGCGGGAGTTGGAGAGGATAAGGGGGCCTCATCCGATCCGCGCCCAGCCCATCCCATCTTATCCTCACCGGCATCCCCAAAAAATCACCTCACCTCCCCCTTTGCATTTTGCACCCTCCCCCCCCTGGCCTGCGCCAGCATAGGACTCCGTGATGACAAGCTTCGCCTCCATGTTCATCCTGAAGTTGTTAATGTAGTCCACGTCCTGCCCCGGCAGCTTGGACATCATGCTAATCTTGTTGATCACCTGGGGGAACCAATCGATCAACTCGGACAACGTCGAGGCGCCATTCGTGAACCACCTGTGGCACTTCGTGGGCAAGGACGCCTTCTTCTGCGACTTCTGGGTGAACGCCTCGTCCAAGTCCGCGGTGAGCGAATCTGTGGACATCACGGACCTCTTGAAGCCCCCCGGCCGCTGCGCCTGGGCCTGCTCCGCGCCCTGAAGGTCCGCGACGATGGACTCGTCCCCGCTGTCTGCGACCTCCATGACCTCGGCGTCCTCCTCGTTGCCCGTCCTCTCGGGCAGTCGCGAACCGAGTGGCCCAACGTCGCTAATCGAGACCCCCGATGGCCCCATAAGGAACCGCCCGCACTGGACTCCGACACGACCCGAGCCTAAAGCCTCGAGAACCAGACCGACGCCAACGGACTCCGAGACGCTCTACCCACTGGCCCTGGCCTGGCTTGTCTGTTCAATGCACTGGCACCTCCCTCCGTGGCCAGTATGTTTAGCCTGATGCCAGGCTTTGGAGGTGTCGGGCGTGGAGCCCCGAAAAAAAAATGGCCCGACCCGACCCCCCAATTAACAACTACCCCCTGCCATCCTGGTCGCCGCGCCACCAGCGCTGGCGCTGCCACAGACGGCCCCTGGCGCGGCCGCGGCTGCCGCGGCCGCTGGCGCTGGCGCCTCCTGCAGCTGCTGATGCCGCTCCTCGCTCTGACGCCTCGCATCCGAGATGCTGTCAGCGAAAGCCGTCTGCTCGGCCGCTGGGGCACAGATCTCCTGCCGCCCCCGGCTCTCTCGGATCCTCCGGGCCCTGGCGCGGTTCTCCGCGATCCTGGCCCGCTGCTCGTCCGTGAGGGCTGGCTCAGCTGGCTGCGGCGGCGGCAAAACCTGCTGGCCAACCTCGGGGGCGTGGCGCGGGCGGGCTCAAGGCTCAAGATCGCGGGCGGAGGGTGGGGAAGACAGGGCGAGCAAGAAAAGGGTGGGAAGAGAAAAGGGCCAGGATCGAGGAGCAATTGACAAGGACACAGGACGGGGGAGAGGCGGGTCGAAGGTAGACTAAGGCGAGAGAGAGAGAGGGGGGGAGGAAGAGGGAGCGGGAGGGCCGTGGATGAGGAGGGGAGGGAGAAAGAGAAATAGAGGGAGAGAGAGAGAGAGACGGCGAGGGGGGAGGCGAGACTGCGAGACAGGGAGCATCATAAACTATATGCGCAAAGCGCGAATCATTGATATTGGGAGGGAGCTGGATGCAGGGAAAAATAAAGGGATCACCATTATATGCACTCAAGCACGCAGGATGGCCCGCGGAACGGAGGGCGGGGAGAGGGACAGGGATAGAGAGACGGATGCAGGCAGGGAAAGAGAGAGCAAGAGAGAGAGAGAAAGAGAAAGAGAGAGAGAGAGGCAGGGACATAGTGGTATATGTCAGGGAGAAGGGAATTCCTTGGACTGAAGACAGTGAGAGCGAGGGGGGAAATGCCGCGAAGGCACTTGCGTTTTACGTTGGTTGTGCAGACCTCCCGTGCTTTAGGGATGTTTAGGGGCCGTGCTTTAAGGACGTTTTAAGAGCCGTGTTTTAGGGATGTTTGAGGGGCCGTGTTTTAGGTATGTTTTAAGGGCCCGGCTCTAGGGATGTTTTAGGGGCCGTGTTTTAAGCATGTTTTAAAGGCCGGGCTTTAAGGATGTTTTAGGGGCCAGGCGTCAGAGAATGGTTTAGGGGCCTCAAGAGAGCCGCAAGAAGGGGGGAATGAGAGGGAACGAAAAACCTCGAATGGGGGGATGAGGCAGGGCACGTGTACTACAGACAGGGGCGCCGAGGAGGTTGGCAGGAGGGAAAGGGGTGGGGGATACTTGAATAACAAGGACGCCGAATACTACAACAAACAAGGGACAGAAGGGGGCACAGGACGAGGAGGAACCTGGTCCGCCGTGTCCGTGAGGTCCACGCCCTGGAAGGACGCCATCTCTTGACCGCGCACTGCGGCGGCCGGCGCCCCGCGCCCGCCGCGGGGCCCGCTGCGGCCCGCTGCGCGCCAAGGTCGGATCCCTGGTCCGAATTCTCTGATACGGTACCAGGCGGGGGCGCAAAAGACAATCGTCGGGGTTGCTAGACCGAGTGGGTGAGGGCGGGGCAACGGATGCCGAACTGGAAAATCTAAGATCTAAGGGGGCGGGGGGTCTGAGCGTGGCGACCAAAAGGGATGGGCGCGGGGGGCGGCCCGAACCTGAGAACCCGTGGCCCCGACGAGCGCTGCCAAGGTGAATTGCAAAGGGATGGCCGTCGACGCCCCTAAACGCGCGACGGCCGCGTCGCGGCTCTTGCGTCGAGGGCGCAGAGGAGGCATGAACATGACCCAATTGTCTACTTTGGCATATACTGTTCTATGTTGTTATTATATGTACATGTACGACTCTACACACAACTAGGTATTTGCATACAAATCGGATGCCGCGGCGCTGCTTACTAACCATATATTTCGTTGCGCACGCTTGACAATGTTGATGTTATGTTATTGTCTGCCACCTGGGAAGATGACGAGTTTAGCATGTCAGCGCAACTTATTTCACATGGGGAAAACGTACGCCAGCCCAAACCAAACTTGCCCAAACAAACTGCGACTTTGCATAGGTTCGCTAATCATTGAGGATTTGACCCAACCATGCGGATTTGAGACTAACGCAGTTGTGGGTATTGTGTTCGGCGCAGCCCCTTATGGCGCCACGAGAAGCGCGATGGGGTGCGCCGACATCTCCATATGGGGCGCTCGAGGACGCATGGGCCCTTGTCTGGAGCTCCCGATGGGGCCGCGAAGCGCGCGAGGGGCGCGCGCGCCGAAGTGCGCGGCGGAAGTGCGCGTGGTCGCATCCGCTGGGTTTTCGGAGAGAGCCCCCATATGGGGCCACGAAACGCGCGAGGCGCGCGACGAGGCTTGCAGCGAGGGCGCGGGCGAGCACAGCCACAGAGGCCCCAGTGCCCCCCATAGGGCCACGAGGCGCGCGAGGCGCGTACTGGGGCGCGCGGCGGGGGGCGAGTGGACGCAAGAAGCGGTGGCTTGACGGATTCCTTATGGTTCCACGAAGCGCGCGGGTGGCCCGACGGCGCGCGCGGCGGGGGCTTTGCGTGGCGCCCCCCTGTGAGAGCACGAAGCGAACGGGGGCGAAGGCCCCTCAGCGCTCGGTCGGAGGTGAGTCGTGCGGCACCCTTCAGTGCTCGGTCCGAGGTAAGCCGTTCGGTTCCTCAATGCACGGCCCGAGGTGAGTCGCTCGGCCCCTGCAATGTTCGGTCGGATGTGAGTCGTTCGGCCCCCTCAGCACGTTTGGCGTTCGGTCGGAAAGAGTCATGCAGACCGCTCAATGTTCGGTCGGAGGTGATTCGTTGTGCCCATCAATGTTTGTTCGGAGGTGAGTGGCTCGGACCCCGCAACGTTCGGTCGGGGGTGAGCCGCTCGGTTTTCATAATGTTCGGCGGTCGGAGATGAGTCGTTTGGGCCCGTCAGTTTTCGGTCAGAGGTGAGTCACTCGGTCCCTTCTTGTCGGTTGGAGAGAGCGAATCCGAGGCTTTGGTGCAGTGTCAAATTGGATAGTTGGGCAATGGGCGCGTTCGCAGGATCGGGCGGTCGGGGCGCGGCGCGGTTGAGCGCGTGCGCTGGGGCTCAAACAGATGCCCAGGGGGGCCCGCCGATCTAAGTTCGGGGCCATGGCGCGCCAGTCCATCGGGCGATCGAGCGAACGCTGGCCCGTGCAAGGCTCGGTCGAACGCGCAGGGGGGAGCGGGGCAAACCTTGGGGCATCCGAAAAACTATTCCTGACTTCCGCTGCCGAGCGGGCGCAAGACCGCTCGCGTGCTTCTCGCGCGCGAGCCCGCGCTTTCTCCCGCGAACTGCAGCGACGCGCGGAATCCAGCCGATTCAACGACCATGTCGGCTGGATACGCGCGATGTATCCCTGGCGAGCTCGGCCATCGGGGCAATTCATCGAGTGCGCTCGGCATTGAAGCGCGCGGCTACTCCGATGGTTCGGGGGCGCTCTGTCAGCGGGTTCCCCGCAACAGCCCCACGACAATGCCCGCGGCGGCTTCGGAGGCGCCGACGCAAGCTCGCGAACTCGCGCAAGCCGCTGCGCTTTCGGCTCGGCCGAGACAACCACATTCGCCCACGCCGAGTGCCAACGCGAACAACCCTCGCCCAGCCCCCACCCCCGCAAGCCACGACTCAGGCGCTGCGGTCCGCAATCAGCCGATACGCAACACTCTTCGGTCACTGCGGCGACACCACCACTGTTCATTGCCGCGCAAAGCGCGCATGCACGCGCGGAGAAAAGTTCCAGGTGCTGCCCCAAACATGATTACCAATGCGCGCGCGCCACTCGCGCGATTCGCAGTGTACGCCCCGCCATTGAACCTTCGCGAAGATGCGCTCGCTCTGCGGGGCCGTAGGGCGGGGCAATGCATTTGAAACGTCGATGGCGCGGCGACCACCTCGGTGGCGCCGACCTGGCGCATCGCCCCGCCGCCAACTGCGCGGCTCGCACTGCGCGTCCGCCTGGCCGCTCTGAGCACGAGGCGCCAGGTTGGGCGCAATCTGCTGTAGTTTGACATATGTGGCGGGCTTTGCTGCGCGAGCTCCCTCAGTATCAGCTTTAACGCGCGTGCGCGCAGAGTCCTGTATGCGCCTGGACATCGACCGCCTCATTCAGCGCGGGCTCCATTTCCGCCCGATATCTGAGTTCGCGCGCGTGCGAATTGATTCGCGAACACGAGAGTGAGAGGCAGCGAAATTCTTGCAGGTTGGCTGATTTCATGGAAAATTGCTGACACAATTGCTCATTTCATGGAAAATCTAACTCGAAAGCACAGAAGAGCCAAAATATCCTGGCATTCGCAGAATTAATCGCGAAAAACAATGATTTCCATCGATTTCCTTTAAATTTTAAACAAAAACCTTAAAACCAACAAAACGGACATGGTTTCTTGAAAAACACCGAAAAGTGCGAACGCCCGCGCGCGACGCCATCGGACCCGAAATTCACTCCGGCAAAAACCCCCCCTGCTCCGGCAGAAACCCCCCTTGCTCCGGCAGAAACCCCCCCAGCTCCGGCAGCCCAACTCCGGCAGAAACCCCCCCCAGCTCCGGCAAAAACCCCCCCTGCTCCGGCAAAAACCCCCCCACTCCGGCAGAAACCCCCCCTGCTCCGGCAGAAACCCCCCTTGCTCCGGCAGAAACCCCCCCTTCCGCCAATTGGTGCTCCCAGCGTTGCAAGGGCCAACAGCCTGGTGCAGGCAGTGCGCGATGCATTTTTGCCGCCCCGCGCAGGTTTTTTTCAAAAACAAGCATTGCATTGCTTGCCCGCGCAGAATTTCACAAAAAAACCTGAAAACTTAAATAAAACGAGAAATCTACACAAATATTATAAAAAATAACAAAATTTGTGGCGCAACAGCCCAAATCCAGAAACCATGCGCAGAGCGCACAGTAGCCGTGAAAAATATTGATTTGCGCATAACATGTGGGTAATCGCCCGCTTCTTGATCAAAAGCGCACACATTGCAACCTCGTCGGCGAGGGCAAGCCGCGGAATGAGCGCACAACCTCCAGGTTGACGGATAGCGGCGGCGCGGTATCACCACATCGACATAAGTTCGCGCTGCTCACGCCTCACGCGCCGAGGATGTTTCAACTACGGGCCGAACCATGCGCAGTTGTGGCCACTGCGATTGTTGTTGATATCGCAGTCGGTGCCCCCCAGCGAGGCCACGAAACGCGCGAAAGGGGGTGCCGAAATGCGCGGCGGCGGGAACGTCCGTGGACACAGACACTGGGGTGTGGGCGGCGTTCCCCATGGGGCCACGAAACGTGTGAGGAGGGTGCCGACGTGCGTGGCGGGGACGCATGTGGGCGCAGCCACTAGGGCCTTGACTGGAGCTCCGAATACGGTCACGAAACACATGGTCGCGCGCCGAATTGTGCGGCGGGGCCATGTGGACGCAAGCGCTCGCGCTTTGGGTCTCCGCGCGAGGCCACGAAACGCGCGGGGGGATGCCCGATGTTGGGGCAGGGGCGCCGGGGCCATAGGTGGGGCCCCCGATGACAGGGCAACAAAAAATGCGAGGGGTGTGCCGATGTGCGGAATGGGCGCATTCGGGCGCCGCCGCTGGGGCTATGGGCGGGGCTTCCCACGGGGTAACGAACCGCATGAGCGGTGCCGAAGTGCGGGCGGGGTCGCGTGTGGATGCAGCACTTTTTTCAAACGTTCTACTACATGCCAACTATCATATGTAACAAGCCGCGTAACATTATAACGCCGACCACAACGATCGCGAAATCGAAACAGGCACGGCCGAACATGGCAGCCGAGTAGACGCGAAAAGACGATGCGCCGAAAAAAACATATTTTTCAAGGCTTGTGGAGGAAAAAACATGATGGCGCTTAGTTCAGAAAGCAGTATCAACGTTAGAAATAGTAAGGGCGTGCTAACATAACGCATTCTAAAAGATGTATACACGGCGTTGCACGCTACATTATGATGTAAACACACGTGTGCCCACGATTTCAAAACTTGCGTGCTGCAACACGTACAGGGATTTCATCTTGACTTGTTTGTATATATATATGTAAATGCATATACACTTGTGCATCGATTCGTAGTTATAGATTTACACATGTATGTATGTTCGATTGTATAGATATGCGTATGCATGCCTGTCGGAGTGTGTGTGTGTGGATGCGTATATATATATATATATATATATATATATCTTCATATACGTATATATATATATATATGTATGTATGTAAATATATATATAACACACGGGTGCACAATTGAGCCATGCTCCTGCCTCCAGAGCTTTACTCTGACATTCAACCTGACTCCCCCTATCTACGCCCGCCTCCACCCCCCGCCACGCTCGCCCAACCATCCCTGTGATCCTCGCCCTATCGCTTCAATCTCGCCCCCCTCGTG